GTGGGAATGAGTGTGTTTGAGACAGCGAGGTTGGCACAGGATAGAACGGCATTTAGGGCTTTTGTACATAGGGTCACTATGAGTCGCAAGTGACTCAATGGCACATAACAACAACAACAACAATATCTCAGCTCAATTTTCTGACATTCACTTAATAAAGAATTTGGAATGATTTAATAGCCTATTTAAAGGCCTATTGTGTCAGAAGTGGATGGCTAACCCTGCGTCGTAACCTGTTTTAAATCTGGCACAGTTCCTTCAATACCTGCTATGGGTGACCCTGCTGGCATTCAAAACACCAGTGGCTTAGTTTACAGCATCATAGCAACCTGTGGGTCTCCCCAGTACAACATGATAGACAACTGCTGTACTAAAAATGGCAAACTATCAATAAACAAGTATATACATGCATTGAAAATTACATGTTGTTGTTGTCAGGTGCCATTGAGTTGAGTAAAACTCATAGTGACTTTATGAACAAAAGATCTGAACTCTATTCTATCCTGTGCCATCCTCACACTTCTGACACATAATACCCTCGTTGAGGGTCTTCCTTTCTTTTTATGACCCTCCACCCTTCTCAGCATCATGTCCTTTTTCAAGGAATAGGCCCTTCTAAAAACATTGTCTAAAGTATGTGAAATGAAGCCTCATCATTCTTGCCTCCAAAGAATATTCCAGGTGCACCCTCTCCAAAACATATCAGTTTGTTCTCTTGGCTGTCCATGAGATGGTCAGTACGCTTCTCCAACACCACAGCTCAAAAGCATCAATTCCTTTCCTGCCATCCTTATTCATTGTCTAGCTTTCAGATGTAATACAAGTAATTGGAAAGACCATGGTCTGAATCAGATGTACGTTAGTCCTCAAACTGACATCATTACTCCTCAATAATTTGGAGAGGTCTCTAACTGCAGATTTTCCCAGTGCAATGCTTCTTCTTATTCCCTGACTGCTGATACAAATGGTGTTGACTGTTAATCCAAGCAAGATGAAGCTGTTGACAGTTTCAATCTCCTTTCCATCCATCATGACACTGCCTTTCGGTCCAGTGACTATCGGTCCTATACAGTTGACTAAAAACTACTCATTTTTCTTCTTTTTGTCCTTTTCTGGGATTTCTCATTTGTTTGCTTTTATAGAAACTGCGATATATTGAGGGAGCTTTTGACAGTGCAGTTTGTCATTGAGAATTGCATTGACCCAAAGATGGCACCTCTCTGCTAGTTCAATTTCAATTCCACAGCGAGGACTTTGATGTATACCTCAAAGAAGCAACACATACTGTAACTTCAGTTAGAAATCCAGGTGATCCACCAGATGCTCTTGCCAGGGAAGGAGGGCAATCTCCTCCTGTACCAGTCAGATCTGATTTGACGGTACACGCACAGAAAAATAATAAAATAAAATTTAAAAAAAGCATAATTAAAAAAAAAAGAAAGAAATCCAGGTGATGCAACTGCTAAGCATTGGGCTGTTAACTGGAAGGTCATGGTTTAAACTGCTCTGTGAGAAAAAGGTGTCAGTTTGCTTCTATCAAGATTGACAGCCTCAGAAACCCTATATGATGGTGCGACTCTATTAGAATTGATTCAGTAACAGTGAATGTTTGGTGTAGGGGATCTTATTTGACTGTCTGTAGTAAGTTACCGTATAATAGAGTTAGTAGAATTAAAAAAAAACCCCAAACCTCTAGGTGATCTTCAATCACTTTGTCTTGCTTTCTCTTTTTACTCTTTTTTTTTCTTTATTGAGATTTTAATGAAAGTTTATAAAGAATTTAGAT